GGACCAGATTTGTTAGGTGTTAGATTTCTAGTGACGTCCACAAAAGTGGAGATTAGTCAATACAACTAAATGCAGCCCATGTTTGCAATTAATTCTAACATATAATTTACACTCATTTTGAGAATTATAGGTCTTATATGTCAGTATTTTTCAAAGTAGGCAACTTTAAGATGTGTGGACTCCAAGTTTAGAATTCCTCAGCCAGCTGAAAAATACTGTTATATATTGACTCTATAGATATTAGTAGAGTCACTATTTATGCTATGTAATGCTATTTAAAGGTAAAGGTTCCCCTCGCACATATGTGCCAGTCATTCCAGACTCCAGGGACAATGCTCATCTCCGTTTCAACGCCAAAGAGCCAGGGCTGTTTGAAGACGTCTCTGTGGTCACGTGGCCAGCATGACTAAATGCCGAGAGCACACTGAATGCTGTTACCTTCCCACCAGTTGGTTCCTATTTTTTCTACTTGCATTTTTATATATTTTCAAACTGCTAGGTTGGCAGAAGCTGGAACGGGAGCTCACTGTTATGCGGCGTTAGCGATTCGAACTGCCAATCTTTCTGATTGGCAGGCGCAGCAACTTAGCCACTGAGACACCATGTCCCTATATTTAAATATATTTAAAAAGCATTCAGGAATAATAGGGATGCCTCATGGTAGTGGTGCAACCGACTGCCACAAAAGGATAGGAAAGAAATCATTTCTATTTCTATTTGCTTTTTCTTCTTCTGAGGACTCTGAAATTTTCTTAACTACATTGAGCTCCTTCAGGGTCAGAATTTGGTACGGTAGTTTCAGGTGTCTGCTGACACCAGCAATTCCCATGTTGCTTTCACACATGCACTCTAGTCATTGTACATGATCATCATCAAAATGGAATTATCACAGAACACACTGATACAAAATAGTTCCCCTCCACTATTTATGCTTTTTTTAAAAATAAACATTTTTAGATGGAGAAGGGATATATAATTCTTACTTATGCATGAACTACAATATAACATGGGAAAAACTGAGGAAATATTATCCACAATCTTATTGAATATGGAATTACACTGAGAATATTAGCCTAAACAAGATAAAAAATGGACTCGACTGAAAATATGTTTATGCTTTCAGACACTGCCTCTGTTCAGAAAGTTAATGAAGATTAAGAAAGCAAAGGTTTGATTTGGCTATCTCTCAGTGTCCAAAACTGATCCAAGGAGCAAAATTCAAGTCCTTTTCTCTTAGAGACCAAACTGAAATTGGAAAGGAAAATTGGAGAGGAGATAAAAGATTAGGTTAACCATGGGTGGTAAAACAAGGGATTGGCAGTTATTTGTTTAGAAGGCTGGACAATGGTTCTCTAATTTCTGTTCCCTACAGATGACTTCAAAAAATGAAGGCTCCTATTTTTTCACTTTGCTGTGGTCTGCACTAAAGGAAATCTATGTATCATCTCCAACAGCTGAAAGCATTCAGACTAAGATGACATCTCATCTCTGTAAAGGGCTGAAATTCATTAGAATTTGCAGTAGTTATGCCTGGCCTTAAGCCATACATAACTGTGGTTTGTGCTTAAACTCTATTTAAATTGACTCATTGATGCTCCTGAACATAACAACATTGAGAAAATTTGTTTTAAGCACCACATCAAATTCTGGAGGGTTGCATACAAGGCAGTGAATTGAGAAGGATCAAAAGGTTTGGCAGGTTGAAAGCCAGAGGTACTAACTAGGATTCTAAAGACAAGATGTGGCTCTTAACAAGCACTCAAGTTATTTTGGCAACTCATCATGGAGTACAAAACTCCTCTTCTTTCTTGTTTGCATCCTTCCCTTGACCTCACAATCACTCTAATGAGGGGGAGTCAGCCGTCTGCTCATTACATGTCTGTGGTTTGAAGCAGTTCTGAATAAGCCAAGCTAATCTAGCCAACAAATCCCATGGCTGCAAAGAGAGAGGAAGCTCATGAAAAAAAGAGTTTATGGGTGAGAGCAAGCAAAGGGGGATGTGAGAACTAATTTCCTGAGTGGCAAGAACTCCAAAGATTAACCTCCATTGCTGTGAGGAATCTATGTTTAGACATGGTGAATTGTTAGCTCTTTGGCAAAACCTCTCCAGATCTTAACTCCCTAAAGCTTTCTACAATTTGCATAAACATGCAGGATTTGATACAGTACAGTTTTCATTTAACAAAAACAAAGCAAAGCAAAACAACAAAATCCCAAAGCTCTTTCACAGAAAGGGGAAAATGCTAAATATTGCATGTATACACGGAAATAAGATTTTCTAGAAGGCTGGGGGCATTTTATCAATATGACCATCTAGTGTACTTGTGTATTATTCTTGTCTTCTTAGTTATCAGGTCCTGTGGATGGGAAATGCAGACTCAGGGGCATCACATTTTATTTAATATGACCGTAAGGATTTCTTTTTCCTGTGCTGAGTGAATCCAGATGGCTAAGGAATTAGAAAAAGCCAAGACTTGATATGTGGCCCTGTATCTTTCCTTATGTTAATCCTAAATATAATTCTCATAGCAGCTTAACCCTACCTCCCCAAAAAAGGACAGCATTACACAGTCCATGTAAGTCTAGAATGGATCAAATCTGTTTTTAATTTAATTTAATTTATCTTAAAAATATATCCTACCCTCAATATTTCTACTCCATGGACAGCTAACAAGTAATAACAATAAACTGAAAAAAGAACCAAAACGTCAACTTAAAACGTATTGTAAAAGCAGATACTGTGCAGTAAAAATAACAACAGAAAATAAATTGAAAATCTGTTTTAAATGGCTAGAAAATAACCACCAAGAACAAAGAAGACAAAAGAGCAAGCTCCAGAGATTTGCTGAATATAAAAATATGAAAGATGAAGTGTCTCAAGTGAAATACTTTTCTGCAAAACTCTCATGGTGGAGATTGCACTTATTCAAGTTCTACAAGGAAGTGAAAGGATCTTCTATTTTTCTTTCACTTTACAAAACTCAGCATCGTTACAACATCATTGGGTATACTGAAGAGCAGAGGCCTCCTTTTAGCAATAGGAATAGCACTCAGACTTATATATTTTTATATTCAGCAAATCTCTGGAGCTTGCTCTTTTGTCTTCTTTGTTCTTGATGGTTGGGGTTCTTTTTCTAGCCATTTAAAACAGATTTTCAATTTATTTTCTGTTGTTATTTTTACTGCACAGTATCTGCTTTTACAATACGTTTTAAGTTGACGTTTTGGTTCTTTTTTCAGTTTATTGTTATTACTTGTTAGCTGTCCATGGAGTAGAAATATTGAGGGTATGATATATTGTTAAGATAAATTAAATTAAATTAAAT